TACGCTCTTGTTTTTCAAGTTGTTTTGGAATGGCACGTTACACTCAGATCTAGCAAAGTGATGGTGACGTCATCCGGATTTTACACCTTTTGTCTGAAGGTACAGTGGTTCCGTCAGCGGAAAATTGTGACGGCAATCGCTCGTAACGGTCAGAATGGGCCATTTTTAGAGATCGCCGGTTCAGGGGGTTCTGGTATAAAAGCGCGCGAGAACGTTTTCATGTGCGTGCGAACACTCCCCCCCGCCAAGAAAGCTAGATCCTGCTGGCTTTTTTGAGCTGCTGTGACCTAGATTGGGCCTCCGCGAAGCCCCTCGTGCGCATATCAAAGTCAAGTTTGGGGGTTTTACGTGCCAAACCAACGACGGGCATCTGGCACGCCTCAGCGGAGGACTGAGGATTAATTTAGACCACCTGGGGAGCTTTTGACGTGCAACCGAAAGCTCGGTTACACGGCGTCTTCTCCGCAATAAGCCTCCGTCAGATTGCGGGCACCTCGGCCGGGATTCGAACCCGCCACATGGGGATCCGTAGGCCGACGCTCTCGCCTCGGAGCCACCGAGGTGGCTTGCTCGTGCGCATATTGTGGTTGGGCTTTGGCTTCCAAGGTCCTTTAAAAGTGTTTCTTTTTTCTCATTCCGAATTCGCACATTGTTTTATTTTCAAAATACTCCAACGCAGTTTTTCTCCCTGTGGAGCCAGGGGCTAAAAGCGGTGCGTTGGACATTCTCGTGTGTTACTGGTGTTTATCTCTCGACCTTCCTAATATTTTATTTTTTATTTTTTTTTACAGTTTGCAGATATACAGGCTAGACAAGGGAACAAAAACGTCACCGTTGTACCGTATCTTCATGGTATCTCACATAACCTGAAGAAAGTGGGAAGTAGAGTAGGTGTTGGGGTTGTGTTATCGACACCTAATAAGTTGGCGGGGCTTGGCAGAAAAGTAAATTCATGTGTTAACAACAAGATTGTGTGCACTAAAAAACACCCAAATCAGTTTGTTTCTTCTGTGCAAGGAGTGGTCTATTTCATTCCTTTATCTTGCGGCCGTCCTTATATAGGACAAACGGGATGATCCTTAAACGAACGACTCAAAGAACATCGCTACAACGTTTTTAAAGTCGTGTCAGGGCACTTAGGCGTGCCCAGCAGAGATTGCTGATGCATTTCCGCCTTCGAGGGATGCCAAGTGGTTTTTAAAAATAAGGACAGAGTGACGCGGGAAATAATAGAAGCCCGTGATATTGCGCAACAGGGTCCTGATTGTGTTAGTGCCCCGTCACTCGTACTTTAGGATAAGGAGCGGCAGTTCTTAGAACGATGAGGGCAAAGGAGTGACAGTGTTCTATTGAAAACGCGACATGTTATATATCTTTTGCATTTTTTTCTTGATTTGTTTGGGTGGCACGTTTGCTATTTATAACAGACGCCTACACGAATAAATTTTCAGTTGAAAGTCAGCGCTGTGGTCCTATGTTACTTTTTACTTCGTCTTTGTCTTTGCGCTGTTTTGTTTTTATCATGTCTACTTACCAACGAGCCCAAAACTTCTACGTTAATCACTCCTCCTCGCCCGAAACTATTCGCTCTTTGTTGTTGATCATCAACTGGGGCGGCTGTCCTCGAGCCGATGTTTCTTTTGAGCGTGGACGTTTGTCGTTCACTCGCGTACTCGTCATCAAGTCTGGCTGCCAGATCAACTTCTAGTTCGGCTGTTAAGGATATGCAATGCCGAACTATGTGTTAAGTCCGCCGAATCCCGTGAAGGCATGCGACGAACGTATTGAGGAATGCGTCGTGAGCCGAGTCTGTCGTCAAGCTAAAGCACACCAGTTGCCATGCCTACAATACGTGAGTCCTTCTTGTTCCTAAAATCTTTGGGTAGCCATGATGTTGCATGTGCCGAATTTTTTCAAAGTAAACTTCGATTGCAGCAGCGAAGTCGCTTCTTGAAAGTAGTAAACATCACAGCAGAATGAGATTTTCAGTAAAGTCATCACAAACAAAGCACCCCCTTTTGACTTTGATTTTTTCATACTTACATTACCAGCTTGCAACCTACTTGCCGAGAATCTTCAAATGTAATTCACTTACGTTTTCAAAGTATTTGTACTCTATTACAGATAGTTTGTAGGTAGCAAAAGTAACTTAAATTCTACTTTAAATACATTTTGAGATAGGTATTCAGTATCTTATCTTAGATACGTTTGTTGAGTCTTTGGCACAACACTGGGTAGAAGAACGTCAAGCATGGTGGTGATTTCAAAGACATACAATAAAGGTGTGCCCAACGATTTGGTGCCTATTGAGAGTTTTTATTTGGCAATTTTTAGTTTCATTTGATCGTTCCGTCACTACCACGTGTACTTTAAGTATATTTGTGCTTCAATGAGGAGTCAAGGGTTTTGTGAATTTAGTTATTCGTTATTGCATTGGCACTACTTCTTTAATGATTGGGCCATCGTTTGTGTCTTATGCTACTGAAAGATTCAGAACACCTACAATTACTATTTTATTGAGCATGTTTCGAGGCTTTAATTTTTTCTTAGTTTACTGTTTATGTAAAACCTCCACGAAACTGTCAGGGCTTGTGTCCTACTGTGTTATCTGCATTTTTTTATGAATTGTGTGTACCTGCTCTGAATGGAAAGGGGAAAGGGGGGGGGGTAGAGGCCTTTTTTAGTAGAGATCACGCCTTCGGACTTACCTTTTAAGATTTGGTCCGAAAAAATCCAAATCAACTCCAATTCAACACAATTCAATTACCTTCGGTCGCTCCCAACTATAAGTATGTGCATATACACGCTGATCGAATGGAATATTTCTCACGAAGCCGCTGATAGTCAAAAGCCCGGCACAGCCAAATACTTCATCTTTAGTCGGCTTCCTAACAATTATTTCATTGGTTCAGCGCGGTTCATTCATCTGCATATTTTCGATCGTCACAATGATCTACACAAAAATAAAGAAGACACTGAAAAGTGATTACGTGTAGGAATGTGAAAGCATTCCTACATGCAGCGCATTCCTACCAGCAGCGCGCCACGTCTTCTTATCGCAGACGGCGCTCCGGCGGTGACATCACGCTCCCCCACTGCGCAGGCGCGGCGAACACCGCCGGCTCCACGCGTTCTGTGACGATGCATCTACGTTGCTGTGCTTTTCTTTGTGTTATATTTCTGAGGCGCGTCCGCTTTGACCTTGAGCGCCCCGCCGACTTCGCGACGAAGCATCTGCGTTGCTGTGCTTTTGACGAAGGGTGTCTTAACTGCCGATTTGCTGCTACAGTCGGATACAGACAAATTCGGTCTCACTCCATGAGACAGTTGATGCTTTCTTATTATTAGCACAAGAAACATTTTGTGACATTATGAACGTAATTTGTTTAATAAAATGTGACTCTGTCATATTAACATTTATTGATCTGAACCGAATTTTCTCAGGCTACTAAACAAAGACCCTTTCACCATCGGCATAGTGGTACTTCAAGCTTCACGGCGTCGCCACTTAAAGTAATCTGGAATGCAACCACGCTTGGTGGCACCCCCGAGCATGGAAATGATAAAAAAAAAAAAACGGGCATCCACTCACACCTTCGTTTTTAATATCGTTTTTATGCCCGGCCTCGAGATTTTTTCTTTTTATGAAATGAGTTCATTAGTCTGCATGTGTGTGTGTGTGTGTGCGTTTTTCCACTTTATTCGTAAGGTTTTTGAAACTGTGAAACTCCACATACCAAAGATATGAATGAGAACGTTTTTGATAGAAATCTGTTTTCCTAATATTTTGTTTCTCTTTTTTACAGTTTGAAGGTATACAGGCGCTCCTCCTGGCCCGAAAATATTCGCTCTTTGTTGTCATCCACAGAGGCAGTTGTCCTCTAGCCGATGTTTCTCCTGAGCGTGGACGTTTGTCGTTCACTCGCGTAGTCGTCATTTGCACGGCCTGAACCGTTTTTTGGTTTTTAGTTGGAGCTCTTCCGTGTAAACCATACCAAAGATGCATCATGGTATTGTCCGAGCTATGAATTGAGCTATGAGTGATTAGGTGTTGCGCTGTCACAATGGCATATCAAAACAGCGGCTATCGCATACAAGCCCAGTGACATTCTTGCGGCTCGTGCCTATGGTATTAGAGAAGCAATTACTGTACAACCGAGCTGTCAGAGTCCTTATGTTGCCTTTGATGGTATAAACGAACCTGCATTTTCTTTCATATTACTGCGCCGCTGAGAAGCAGTAGCATGTCGCACGTGCGAGATGCTAGTGCAGTAAGTACTCAGCATTTGCGCAGGGTACCTAGCTCGAACCAGGTGGTCTCTCCGGGGAGCAAATGGGAGTTCAAAAGACCAAATGCTGTAATTAGTCCTTTGATTATAATGCAATTAAATGTAAAGGTGCAAGCGAGCTGGACAAAAATGACGAGAATAAGTTGTTAGTGTTAGCCTGGTGGCGGCTGATAAAACATGTTTGCTCTACTGACGTCTAACCCCTGGTTAGCTCAGTTGATAGAACGCTCCACTGTGAACGGAGAGGTCCCGGGCTCGATACCCGAACCAGGCGGATTTTTTCGGTCAAGCACCAGTCACCTGGCTATGTTTGGAGATTTGTGTTCGTCCTTTGTCCCTCTTGTCAGTCCTTCGAGGCCATGTTTTTTCTTAGAGTGTATATTGAGATTCCGCGTGGGGATCTTTTTTATGACTGAGGACAGCTTGTAGTACTGCATGTTCTTCGGCCGACTCAAGGGTCATTGTATTAGTAAGGGGCATAGTTTTGGCGTAGGTGAGTGGAGCCATCTTTTATACTGAGAAACACTGAAGTTGTAGCTGTCTTCGTGGGTCCTGGCAGCATCGGTGTAACCGATGGAGTGGGTTGAGGCTTGCTGAGGTGCGTCAATTTCCTGTTTATGTTGTCGGGCGTAGTGTTGCCTGCATTCTCAATTTTTTTCTGGGTTCATATTTATGAATAGCGAATTTTGAGTGAAAGATTTTTATTAGTTTCTATGTAGGTTTAAGAGGTGGGGTGGTGTGGGCAGTGACTAGTGGGATGCCGAGGTGCGGGGCGATGGCCCTGTTTTCGGAGGTGTCTTGAAGCCTGGCTATATGTATTTCACGTTGTTGAGTGAGGACTTCCTCAAGACTTGTGAGGTAGATGCATTTGCCCTGTTCCTGAAATCGGGGAAGCAGTTATGTTTTCCCGCCTTCCGGAAGAGCTTTGATTTTTGCTGTCTTTGGTAGGCCAATGAAGCCCGGTGGGCCTCACTGAAGAGGGTGCTGAATTTGGAAGAACGTACACCTTTCAGGTGATAGAATCGGGCGGAGAATGCCACTTTCGCGGCAAGAACTCCTGTGACGAGGGATATGGCCGATAATTTTTTCCCGGTCCCTGCCTACCTGTGGGCAATACAGTGAATTAGATGAGTACCTTGTGTTCATTCTTTGTAGAACCTTTGATCCAGTCGGTGACGTTGGTGGGTTGATAGCGGAAGTGACCCCTAGGACCTTTGTGCCTGGATCTTTCTTGATAACATCCCCTGCAAATTGCAGGTTGATATTGAGGTCTTCGTAGCATTTGCCAAATACTGTGTGATATTCTTAGAAAGGAAAGTGTCTTATTTGACTTAAGTGAGTGTGAATTGCAGTGAGGGCTGCCTGTAGGGCGTGTGATCGCTGTCCAGAGTCGCCTTTGGGTGTCCAAATGGTAATGTCGTCCGCACAGGCCGTTGCATTGAGGCTGCCCAGCGGCCAAACACATAATTCGTGGCAGGTAGGTAAAACGCAGACAAGTACACGTTACCCCAAAATGTAACTAGATACCATTACTCGTTAGTAGTTGAAGAAGTTACTAAATACGTTACTCGTTACTGATTCTCAAAAGCAACGCGTTACGTTACCTTCAAAGTAACAAGTGACTTTTCTCGCTACTTTGACTTCATAGTTTATTGTCTTCTTTTTAGTAGTCGTTGCCCTTAAGCAGTAGCTGCCTCTGGAAGTTTTTATCAATTATGTTCTCTGCCTGCTTGAGAACACATCTCCGTCGATGCTGAAGAGTCGTTCTACTCACGCGCTAGAAAGAACGGCTATGTTGTGGTCCAGGAACAGCTGGTGAATCTGGGATTCCTCTTACTCTTTTGTGCTTTTTGCTTCTAAAGTTCCAAGTTGCAATCGGTTCTGTGTCTTCCCGTGTTGACAACCTTAGGGTTTACATTCGGTCTGTACACGATTCCAGAAGGTTCAACCAACGAGCCTTATTGTGTTCGCTGGGTGAAGGACTCCCAGCTGTAGAACTCGACTGACGTGCTCAGTAATTAACGTTGCTATGCTTTCGTACTGTTTAGTAGTTTTTCTGGGTTGCCCATCTGCCTTTGTCGAAATGAAGGAATGCTCACATAAGAATTTAAACAAGGCTGTATAAACGGTGTTGTACACGTTCCTCCTCAAAAGTAACGAAATATTGTTACTCGTTACATGACTTTCGAAGTAACTAAGTACGTTGCCTCGTTCCTTTTCTAAAAAAAGGTAACAACATAAGTTACTCGTTACCGGAAATAGTAAATATCTGGAAGTAACTTTTTACAAGTAACGCGTTACATACATGTCTGGTGAAACGTCAGTTTTTGTCTCGGCCACTTCAACGGTCAATATTTATTTTATTTATTTATTTATTTATTTATAAATACTGTTAACCCTTGTCAGGGTCATTACAGAGAGGGAAAAACAACAAAACACATTACCTAACATCTTTCACAACAATAGTACACGTCAAGTAGGCTCTCAAATTCACGAACATTTTCCCTGTCAACAATATAACTAGGCAATGTATTCCAGGATTCAATCACATCAGGAAAAAATGAGTATCGAAAAACATCAACACGGGCATTGAACGGCTCAATGGCTAAGTTGTGATTTAATCGGTCACTTCGTTTACATGGTAGTTTTACATAGCTGTCCTTGTTAATCTTAATTTGTCCATGGATGAGTTGAAAAAACAATATCAGTCGATGTTTTTGTCTCCTTGTCTCCAGTAGCTCTAAGTCGCATGAGTCTAACATTGATGTAACCGAATCTGTCCATTTATATTTAGCACAAACGAAGCGCACAGCTAATCTTTGAATTCTTTCTAATTTGGACTTCAAGACTTTCTGATGTGGACTCCAGACAGCCGATGCATATTCTAGAACTGACCTCACGAATGTTTTGTAGGCAATTAACTTAACGTTCTTTGTTGCGTTGTGCAATTTTTTCCTTAAGAAGTACAATTTCTTTGAAGCCTTAGAGCACACGTTTTCCACATGTTTTCGCCAGTTTAGATCATGGGTTATTGTCACTCCTAAATATTTAAAACTATTTACATTGTTCAAAAAGTTATTTCCAATGTTATACCTAAAACAAAGTGCACTCTTTTTTTTAGTTATATGAGTAAATGTGGATTTAGTATAGTTAATTTCCATGTCCCACTTTTCACACCACATGTTCAAAGCCTGAAGGCTACGATTGATTTTAATTTGCTCATTCACATTTGTGACTACCGAATAAAGTAAACAATCGTCGGCAAAAAGCTTCATTTCTACGCCTGGCTCTACAATGCTAGCAATATCGTTGATGTACAACAAAAATAATAAGGGTCCCAACACAGATCCTTGTGGGACACCAGAAAACACCTCCAGCGAACAAGACATACAATCGTCAACACGCACCACCTGCCTGCGATTGATCAAATAAGCCTCAATCCATTCTAATATTGTAGAGCTAATACCGATTTGTCGAAGTTTGAAGAGTAGTTTATTATGAGAAACCTTATCAAAAGCTTTTGCGAAGTCTATACAAATAACATCTATCTGCCTCTGGTCGTTTATTGCTAACGAAAAATCGTGAATAGTTTCGATTAGCTGCGTAACAGTGGAAAGATTGCTTCGAAACCCGTGTTGATGCGGGTAAAGCAACTGGTTCTCTTCAAGAAAAATAATAATATGTTTTGCTATATTGTGCTCCAGAAGCTTACATGACACAGAGGTAAGAGACACGGGGCGATAATTATTCACGATTGCTCGGACTCCGCCTTTAAAAATAGGTATTACGATTGCACTACGCCAATCTTGTGGTAGTGAGTGAGTTTGCAAAGATTTCCGAAAGATAGCTTCTAGATAAAATGACACCCACTCGGCATATCGTTGCAAAAATGCCGTCGGTATTTCATCAGGCCCACTAGCCTTCTTTACATCCAACTCTAGCAACTGCTGAAATACGCCCACCCGAGTTATTGAAAAATCTTCCATGCAGCACGGGAATGAATTAAATTGTCCACCGTCATAGCTATTACCATTGTCTTTCGAAAAAACAGACTGAAAAAATTCATTGAAGCAGTCTGCTATTTCCTTCCGTTCTGTAACCATCTTGGTTGCGGTTTGAACATGATCGATGCTTTCTTTCTTCTCACTAAAAAAACGCCAAAATTTTTCTGGCGATGTTTTCAGGAAGTTGCCAAGTCTCCGATTAAAGAACTGTTGCCTGGATTCATTTAATGCGGTTTTCAAATTACGACGGACCTGAGATATCTGGTCTTTACTATCTTTTCTTTTCCGTAATCTATTTATTTTACGCTTCATGTGAATAATCTTACGATTGATCCACGGGTTTTGTTGTTTTGTTTTTTTAAAGCGAGTCGGAATAAATCTGTTTACACAATGATTTATAACTCCTTTAAATCGCCGCCACAGTTCCTCCACGGACTCACAATCGCAGGCAAGCTGGAACTGGCTAAATGAACATTCCAAAAAATCAATTACAGAAGTGTCATCCGCTTGAACATAATCTTTGATTGGAATAGGAACAAAGGGTCGCTTACGATTTCCTATACTATGCAATATGTCCATAGCAATCATCTTGTGATCCGATATTCCTTCTACAACGGAGATTGTGTAATCACCCACTCTCTGGGATATAAACAACAAGTCCAACAGTGACCGGGACTCAGGAGTTACTCTCGTTTCCTCGTTCACAATTTGCCTTAGATTGTGAGAAATCAATATTTCCAACAATATTTCAGCACTGGAAGTCTCCACGTGCCCCGGGGACAAAGCTTCCCAATCTATGTGAGGTAAATTAAAGTCACCGGTCAGTATTAATCTTGTAGTACTTTTCACATGAGCGCACAAGAACAAATTCAACTTATCCAAAAACTCTGGCTGAGTAACAGGTGGCCTGTACACTACACCAACAAGATACACATTGTTCGCAAAAGTAATTCTACACCACACTGTTTCGTTAAGATTGCAATGAACCAACACAGCCGAGACAGAGTTTTTAACTATAATAGCTACACCACCACCACGAGAGTCTCTATCCCATCTGAACATTTGGTAACCAGGAGGAATAATGCAGTTATTAGGCACATCCTTGTTCAACCATGTCTCTGTTAATAACACAACGTGAGGACTTCGTGCTAATAAAAGATATTCTAAGTCTGAAGTTTTATTGGCGATACTGCGCGCGTTAAGTACTAGAAGGCGTAGCTATGCTCCTGTGGGAGTGCCTTGGGAACCAAGACGACTATCTAAAGCTGGAGATGACCGTGTACCACCTGAGGCGTCATTTTGGCGATATTCGTGACATAGGCACCGCTCATTTTGGCCATGGTCCCATACGTAAAACTGGTCGTTTACTTTCAGTTTGTCATGAACCAAGGTGACCCTTTTGCCATTGTTCCTGTCAACTGAAGCGCTTGCCCACAGCTTTTTACGCACTTCCACTATTTCTTTCGGATAATCACTGCTGATCCTAATTTGGCTTCCTTTTAGCTTCCGGCAGTTCCTCAGCACCTGCTCTTTTTCCCTTGAGTCATAAAATCCTAGAATTACAGGCCTAGGACTTCCTGGCTTCTTCTTGCCTAAGCGATGTATCCTTTCTACCGTCTGTACTTGAACTCCTAGCGTTTCCCGAAAGAGCGTGTCTACAACCGCCGCTTTCAAGGTCGACTCAGATTCCCCATTCTCCTCAAGAAGACCGAATACTAAAAGGTTGTTCCGTCGGCTTCGGGTTTCAAACTCAATCAGCTTTTCAGCTTGTTGCCGAACAAGGTTCTCTAGACTGTCTATTCTCCTATTCAAGTCCTTAATTACTTCAACATAATCAGTCAATTTATCAGTCTTTGTGTGCAGTTTTGCAATTTCTTCATTTATAGCGCCCAATTTACAGTCAGACGTCGCCTGATTCTCTATAATCAACTCCAACAGTTCAGTCGTCTTAGGCCCTGGGTTCTGCTCAACGTCACCCGACATAACCAATAACAAAATCATCGACCAGCAATCACGCACTGTAGCATAACTTGAAAACAAGAGATCTCAAATGCTTGCCGTTTGCGCTCTTTCGTTAAAAGTATTCTAACAAAACGTATTTTATTTTATGAAAAATTCAAATTCTATCTTTTACCCGTGCTTGAGTTGAGATGAAAACAGTCATATACATTTCGCGAGATCCCCGCATTGTGTTTTGTTTTTGTCTTGATGGCAAGCGAATGCAGGTCTATATAAAATCCGTTTTTGCTATTATTGTTGTTTCTTTGCCATTTGAAATCTTTGAAACTTTGCGCACGGAAACGTGCCAACGTGACTTGTTTTTGCTGTGGTTTGTTTAAGGTTATTTTTATGTGAATTTGGAGTGCCTTATTGCCTGCGTGCCTTGCGTACAATTCGTATTTTTATATTTTAAATTAGTTTTGTGCAAAGTAGGTGTTTCCATGCAGATAAGGTTTAGGTTACACGTACTATATTCATTCCCAAAGAAACCCACAGGCCGACAACATTATAAGCGAATAAATAAATAGCGAAATTTGCTACACATTCTGCCTTTTATATCTCAATGGATCTCTTTAGCTAGCAGGAAATATTTTTTTTCGGCTTCAGTGAAGCCCAGTTTCAACACGTACATTGCAGAAAACCAGTTTCTGCCCTTGAACGTGTCTTTCCTCGCTTCTGGGAAGTGCGGCGTCAACAGGCTTGTCTTTGTCAATGTCGGTACGAGAACCTTTTAACGTAGTTCAGAAAGGGCTCACAAAATAGTTTTGATATGTCCCCTACATCTGTAGGACGTCCGAAATAACCAATGGCTGGTTCTAAATTAAAAGCAAAACAAAAACAACAACTTTAGATCTCCACTTGATCATGCTGACAAAAACCGGAGAGCACACAATGTGTTGAGGGCAAACTCTTATCGCAGAACCTGCTCGCAGAAATTGACACCACATGACTTGAAGGACAAAACCACGTGATGTGACCTCAAGTCACGCGAAGTCACTTTTCCAACAAAATTTAGCGAGAAAATTGACATTTCGTGACTTGGGGTCACATGACGTCGTCACATGACATATATATTTTCGCTAAATATATAGCGAGTATACTGACATCACGTCATAATAACTTCTCGGCTAAATTTAGCGGGGAGATTGACGCGACGATCCTTCATGAGGGTTCTTCGGGGTGGTTCTTCCCGAAGAACCCTCATGAAGGATCGTCGCGTCAATCTCCCCGCTAAATTTAGCCGAGAAGTTATTATGACGTGATGTCAGTATACTCGCTATATATTTAGTGGTTCTTCGTGACGCTTTTTCATGAAATTTGTCTAGTAAAAAACATTGTGTTAAAAATCAACGCCTGAATGTCGCAATTTCAACGTTATACCAAAGGTGTATTGAAGGGTTGCATCTTCTAACCTTGTAAAACTTCGAGGCGTACGTCTCTTCCTGTGAACAAAAAGTGGCAACAGGAAGGAACCCATGCCTTGAAATTTCACAGGGTAAAATTTACCATTCCACTATACCTCTGGTAAAAAGGCGAAATTGCAACGAATCGGCGCTAATTTTTTCAGACGCATTTAGAACAGCCTCGATATTTCGGACACCCTATATACCTAAAGCTACAAGCCCCACTCACGTGGAAAGCTTTACCGCGATCAAAATCCAAAGAGAATGGGGGAGGTACAAAGGCACACACTTTCACAGCACCTCAGATACCATCTGTGTATTTGTTCCTTGCTATTCGTTAGTCGCACAAACACAACGATGCTGAAATCTCGTCTTTTGAGGATACCGTTTAACAACTCCTGCCTTTCGGTGTAGTTTTCGTCATGATCTCTTCGAGCCTTTTGACTGATTTAAGCCATAGAAGGCCTAACCTTTGACGTTTGATAACAGAACATGTTTTGCTGCAGTAACCGTACGCGTTAAGAAACGTCGTATTTAAGATTCTCCCATTATTTCATTTATTATGACCCGATTTAGAAAGGACAACTTATAAGTCTGTTTACTGGAGAAAATGCAAAGTTTTGAATAAAGACAAGTATTCGGTTTAGCCTTTCGCTGGCAGTACTATCAGAAAGCACATGTTGACCTGTTGTTTTCTGCTTTAGATCGTTATCTTGGAATCTTCGTGGGCGAGGAGGCGACATGAAGATGGTAAACAATTTGCTGTATCCAATAGTAAAGTCCGTATGTTTTAGATGTGGCAGTGCAGTAAAAACTCACAGCTATTAACAGAATCTACAAACAGCGTCTAACACACATTTTCAATTCCCGTGGAAGAAGCATGCGGTGTCGTCGTTCCCAAGAGCCAACTAAAACAACATACAACAGGCTGCGATTTTAAGTAAGCCCTGCCGTGCGGCACAACAAGGTACAAGATCTATGCCAACAATTGTGACAAGCAAGACTTACGAAAGAACTTCTCAACTGGCGCTTTTAAGGGAAAACTATAGAACAGTGGTTCGTACCCACTGATGTTTGGCAAACACCTTATGAGTCGGCGGAGATGATGGAGGACCCCGTTCATGCTGAGAGGAAGGGAAATGTATAGGTTACTTATGATAATGATTTAATAAGGTGATATAACTAATAGCTAGTGTGAAGTTTTAGGAACTGACCCAAAAATGTGAACTTTTCTTCTCAATTTGAAAAAACAAATAGAGCTTTTCCTGCCAGGTTTGAGTGATGAGGCCCCACGGACCCCCAGAATGGCTTCGCGGACCCCAAAGGTCCGCGGACTCTCATTTGAGAACCGCTGCTCTAGAAAACTAAACTTTGCTAAACTCTAGAAATAAAGGGAAATAATATTTTATTTCAGTTTGAGAAATGCAACTGAAAGCAAATATAACAGCATTTTTTTTAATGCCACTATTTGGGCGGAGTTGCCCCTTAAAAGCTTTAGACGCGTTTTTTTAAGTCCTTAGTTTAATACGTTTGAACTACCCCATTAACACCACTGTAACTCGTAACTGTTTCCGTCTAATTTACAATTATTTTTCGTTATATCAAGCATAAATTGACATCATTGTCTGTTCAAGGCGGCGAAGGATTAATGTAGTAGCAAATGGAAGCGCAAAACTCGATACCATGCTTGATGTGTGCTTCGGAGCACTTTTGATTCACGTATCATCAGTTTGCTTTTATGGCAGATTTGTGTTGCCTTATTCTGGAGGCGACATGTCGCCACCAGAGGTAAAGCTAGAAGTGTAAAAGGGCACGCCCCCCCCCCCCCCCCCCTTCCCAAACGACGAGCAAAACCACAGCTATTTTAACACGAAGTAGTTCGCAAAAGTAAAATTTAAGAAATCCTTTGTTTGTGTTCAGATATTGGACAATTTTCCAGTTGTGTCGTGCTAAGTACAAATTATATAAAAATAATTACGTTCCACGTTCTTCATAATATAATAATGACTATGCTCTGGCGAAAAACGCCGACCAGCTGGCAACGCTGATGCGACCACCACACAGTTTTCCTATTTTTTTTGTTCTCAGTGGCCGAATTGTTGGCTTCAAGTTCGACGCTTTTCTTGCCAAGTTGCTGGGCATCCCTTGGCTTTCTGTTTTTCTCATTTCCCCCGACAACGCAAGAAAGAAAAAAGAGGCACGTTTGGCGTCAGGCGCGATTTCGTGATGAATGTGTACTCTTCTTCTTCGTCAGGAGTCCCAAACCGCGTCGTACCGCGAAGTTGTTCAACAAACATCGAAGCTAACAGACGTTGGGAAATCGACGAAAAGTTGATCCGCCAATGGTGGGAAATGTTCTCTGATGAAAGACGGGTCAAAATCACGTGTGGAGGAGACGGTCAAAGGCAAAACCATGCAATGTCGGCGGAGCGCCAAGAAAACGCGTGCTCCAGTGCGACCGACGGTGCGCGGTATGCTTTTGTTGATGTTAGGCGCCTGCGGAGAGAGCCCGCTGCTTTCTTCAAAATCGGAGAATGGGCGGCCGTCTACCCAGAGAGCTCGCTCAAGCCGCTGTTTCCGTGGGCTTCGGACGGTAAGGCGACAGAGAAGACCCGTCTGGGCATCGAACGTTACCTACCAACTTCCGTGTTCCAGCCACGGCCTTTCTTTGCCGATAGTGAGACGGACCTCCTCAAAGCCTGCAGCAACCACCGAACTGAACCGGAGTTTTATTCCAGGACACGAAATGGCATTTTTAATTATTTAGCAGATGATGCCGTCGATACTCCCGCAGCAGACGGAATGTTTCTCTTCGACTTTTCTGCACCTCTGCGCAGATTCCGCAAAGAGTGATATACGAAGTGCAGGAGAAGTCGCGTTCTCACCGGCGTTTTATTGGCCCCGGCCAATTGTAGCTTTGGCCTAGGGCTAAACTGAGTATAGCGCGTAAGTCAAATGTGTTGTGGCTTTTTTAAAGGGGCACTGAAAGGTCAAAATCATGTTTTTTTTATTATCCGAAACGATTGAAAACAATGCCTGGACATTACCCTCAAAAGTCAAAACTTGGGAACTAAGTACTTGGGGAGTAATAAGAAACAAACTATTTCCAAAAGCTGAATTTGAAGTTCATGCGCAATCAGCGCCAGTGCAGTGACGTCAAATATTGAGTCGTTCAGCAACTCGAGTTTCCCTCACGTCTCCGAACCGTCCCGACCCAAAGTGTCGTCTTCGCGCGCAGCCCGCGATCAACCGCCCTTCTTCGTGCGTGCCGCCTATCATTTTGAGCAGACGACACTTCACTTTCGAGTTTGAAGTTCTTTTAGGTCCCTTTCAGCGATCTCAAATTCTTTGAAACGGTGTGACGTCAAAGAGAACGCGCAGTGAACTTTTGTGAGCGACATCAGGGGCCACGTCACGCCGGTTCTGCGTGAAAGGCTGCCCCGGCGGAGTCACAACCGAAACTACGGTACACTGACACCAAAACCCAGTTATTTTGACCGTTTGACGATTTCCATTTGAAGTCTGAGAGGTCGTTGGGCATCTAAAAAAGATAACTTTGTCCGATTCCCCGATTCACCGATCATCCTCAGTGCTACATGAGCAGAGGTCAGCCATGTTTTCGGATGGAGCATAAAAGGTCAAGACTCCGATGTTCGGTATTTAAAAAAGAAGGGCCCTAGTGCGTTCACAATAGGCGATATCCGAAAATGTCAGCGCCATCTAGTGAACGGGAGAGGAACCACGTTCGCCATCTTGGTAGTGGCGACAACCGGCCGGGAGGCTT